CCAACTTAAAATATACCAATTTTCATATACTTACAAAGTCCTTGTGAACAACATGGAATACCCTTGTAGATGATAAAGATAATTCTTAATTCAGAGAACCATCCTTTCATGTATTGTTATCTGTTAACGTCCTTAATGAGATTCCTTTACTATCAATAAACGGGAAATCAAGGTTTAACAACAATGGGCTATGGGGCGGGCACTGCCTTTGATCTGCCGTTTGTGAACCATTTCAAACACTCGGTAATTAACACTCTAAAAAAGATCTGATTCCAATCTTACTTACGAGTAATTCAGACAGTCATTGGCGAAGACAACGAGAATAAAAACTATAATGGCCGTGTTTCTTTAAGTCTTAGTTAAAGGTGTTATGCTATTTAAATCATCTTAACTGGTATATTAGGTTTAAGTTCCCTAGTTCAAACATTAAATACACTGAGATTGTAAGACATTTTTATATTGAAGCCTTTAAACTCAAAGCATTATATCACTGTAAGCGTTTTTTGTTCCCTTTTTTCCATGTAAGTCTATAATAACTCTATATAAACTAAGTGACCCCAGGGGCAGGACCAAACTTGACCCCAGGAGCATGATTTATAGAGGAACATGGTGATGCTACATGCCAAACATCTAAGGTATGGGTACACTGTACTGTAGTTTCTGGGAAGAAGATTTTTAAAGTTTTAATTTTTAAAGTCTCTATTTTAAGCTCCTCTGTGATCTATAAAAGCATCAAACTTGAACTGGTTGTATAACTTTTGTAAAGAACCACCTAAGTTAATCATTCCTATGAAGTTTGGTCAAAATCCACCAGTCGGCTTAGGAGATGTTGCATAAAGAAATTGTCAACATTATGATGGACTCAGTGTCACTGCAAAAGCTCTCCTCTAAGCACTTTGTGCTTGGGTGAGCTAACAAGAGCTGTCCGTAAGACAGCGCGCTCGACTTTTTTAGTGCTTGCCTATAATACAAAACATTGACAGTTAAGGGCCATAATTCAAATAAAATCTTTGACAGAATTACCTTCTCCTGGACATGTTTGGGAATCATGATTGTAAACAAGTATTCCAACTTTCAAATTAATATCTCAAACAGTTCAGTCAAAAAGTGGACTGGTACTAAAAACTTAACCAAGATTCTAAGTCGATAAAAGGCCTTAATTTTTAAAACAAATCCTTGACAGAGTTACCTTCTCTTGCGTACAGATGGGGGTAATGATGTGAAATAGCATTAAAAGTTTCAAAGCAATATCTCAAAGGGTTAAGGCAATAAGTGGATTTTACCCATATTCAATGTATTTTCTAAGTCAAAAAGGGGCATAATTCTGTCAAAAACCTTGACAGAGTTATGTCCTCTTGTCTGTTGATGAAGGTCGTGATGGTAAACAAGTATGGTCAGTTTCAAAGCAATACCTCCAATGGTTTTGAAATAAAGTGAGGTGGTACAAAAAACTTAACCAAGATTCTAAGTCGATAAAAGGCCTTAATTTTTAAAACAAATCCTTGACAGAGTTACCTTCTCTTGCGTACAGATGGGGGTAATGATGTGAAATAGCATTAAAAGTTTCAAAGCAATATCTCAAAGGGTTAAGGCAATAAGTGGATTTTACCCATATTCAATGTATTTTCTAAGTCAAAAAGGGGCATAATTCTGTCAAAAACCTTGACAGAGTTATGTCCTCTTGTCTGTTGATGAAGGTCGTGATGGTAAACAAGTATGGTCAGTTTCAAAGCAATACCTCCAATGGTTTTGAAATAAAGTGAGGTGGTACAAAAACTTAACCAAGCTCAAATACACTTTCTAAGTCAAAAAAGGGCCATAATTCTGTCAAAAACCTTGACAGAGTTATGTACTCTTGTCTGTAGATGGAGGTTATGATGGTGAACAAGTATGGTAAGTTTCAAAGCCATACTTGTAATACTTCTGAAATAAAGTGGGGTGGTACGAAAAACTTAACCAAGGTGTGACGCCAACGCTAACGCTAACGCCGACGCCGACGCCGACGCCGGGGCGAGTAGGATAGCTCCCCTTTTCATAGAAAAGTCGAGCTAAAAATGATATCATAGAAATAAATATAAATGATTAATATGTTAACAAAATTTATCTAAAAGATAACCTCAATGATTTCACATGTTAACTTTATGATCAGATGTAAATTAATAAATTCTAACTTACACATTTGCTAAAGCCACTAAAGAATTTCAAAGACAAGGTTTCTTGAATAACAAAGGCTCTAACCAGCTTTGAAAACCAAACAAAAAGCATTGATGAAGGATCTAAAAACAATACAAAAACAACCTTAAAACAAATTTTAGCCCTATACCAAGATGAGGAAAAGGGACTTCAAAGGCTTTTCATACCATCTGCATCCTGCAATTAACACAACTCTAAGAAACAATGCACCAAGGACACCCCTTTATTCAAGCCAATCCTGAAACTAGGAAGAATTTTTCACAAACAATTGTTTTTTCCCTTCAAGTCTGTTCAAATCAAAGGTACCCCAAACACACACACAGATAAACAAAATATGCACCAAACACTCCAGCCAATGGGATTGCCAAAGCAAATGCTTTTCTATAGATTTCTGAAAATGTTGTATAATTTATTCTGTCTAATACAAGATCAAAGCTCCCATGTACTGATCAAACATCAAAGTGATTAAGCAACTATTCAAATGAAATAAAACATTACTAATCGGTCTAGCCTGTTGCCTTACCATTATAAGACTCACTTGATTACACATCAATGCATTACAACATCTTGCTGACTGAGTTTATGTAATGCATCCACGTCAATTGTTGTTACTCCCCTCTCTCCAAGGAATAGCAGGGACTTTGACTGACTATTGGATTATCAAAATGTCTTTTAAGGCCCTGCTCTGCTGGTATAGTCGATATTTACCCGCACCCTCTCCCCACCACCAAATTGAACCAGGGACAAACTGAAGGTAAAACCTTAACCCAAACACTATCCCACAGTCCTCCACACCTAAATCAAGAACTATCGATGGTATCTTTGATACATTTATAACCATTATGTCCATTAATCATTTTTAGGGTCAATTTCAAAATATATACTTAATGAAATAGGAATCATTTGTTTGTTTGTTTCATTTTACACCTTTTCCCAACAGTATTTCAGTCATATAGGCAGGTAGTTTCCTAACAATCGTTCCTGGAGAGTTACACCAGTACTAGACTACCTTCCTCCGCGCTAAACTACCAAAGCATCTCCCGGGGATCGAACCCACGACAGATAGGTAACTGGATTAGAAGTCATCAACTCTAACCCCTCGACCACGGAGGCGGTTGAAATAGTAATCAGTGCAGACCATGATCAGATAGCACATCTATGGTCTGAAGTGGTTGCATGGGTAGATTCGTTGCCACCAGCAAGCCAAGGATTAAACATAATTCAATCCTAAAAATCCAGTTTTGAAATTTCTGTATTTTTGTTGCATTTGTTTATCAGTTCAAAGGGATGATCATCCCATAAAAAAGAAAACTTAATCTTAGACTAACAAAGAATGTTTTATAAAGCCAAACAAACACTTTGCCATTAAAGTTTAAGGTATCAAAATCACACAAGCTTGAAAATGTACCCGTAAACTTTTAACCTGGTATTAAAATATTCATTTTCATCAATAAAAATAAACATAAAAAGCCTTTTTTTTCTGCATCAAACATGTGTAATTTATTAAAGAACATTACACCCCCCCTCCCCAAATACAAAACACACCTCCCACTTTTTTTTCAAATTTTGTTTGTGGGTTCTATTGAATGAAATGACTTATGTCGCTGTCTGGGGTACAGGATACGTTGAACTTAAGATCAAAGACATTTAAATGCTATTTAAACTGCGGCTAAATAAATTTCAACTTGCATATCCCAAACGTGTTATTCTTTCCACCTGAATCCATGAATGGGAAAAATACTTTGATTCTATACATAATCTCTGATTACAACACGGCTATTTAAATTGGTACGTTTTTTTCACCAAAGTGTTTTGTTTGCGGTTTTCCGCTGTCTGCCCTTCTTTCCACATAATAACGTATCCGTAACACTGTTTTCTTTGATGATTATGGATGAAAACATAAAAATATATCAATATAAGGAGTCGACTATAAAAAGAAAAGAAATCATCATAAAATACAGAATTTATGTTCGCTACACACTCTAAGAAACATTGTTGTCGAGACTTTATTACAATTTGAATAACAGATTTGGTTTGAAGTGATTTTCATCACTTTTGATTCTGTTGTGTCTTTTACTTTCAAAAAGGCCTGAAATGCATTCATAATCATATATACCCATTACAATTTCTTTTTCATTTACTCAACAATATCCACAAATGACAAAAACAATGGCCTGGTCATACATGTTTTCAAAATAATTTTATGTCTTAGCATGCATATAAAGAAGATGTAGATGTAATATTACACAGTTATGAATAGTCTCCACTTAGAATACAATAAATCTGACTTGAACATGCATCAATTATCTCAAATGATCTGTAGAAACAGATTTGAAATCACTTTCAAATCAAATAATATGTGTGACGGCAAAAAAGTTAGCCCCCTTTTATTTACATACTTCTTTTTTCTTCAGTTATCTCCCTTTTTTTCCAAACCCAATTTTTATGAAAAAGTAATAAATTTGGGTCAAATGGAATGTTTACACAAATGGACCCTATCGTTAATCATGTAAATGAAACTTTGCAAATTCTAACTACATTTTTTCAACTACATTAGTTTTTGTGAGAAAATAAATATATATTAATTTATTCATCTATTAAGCTCCAATTTAACTGAATATTGTATATATACATATATATAATATAATATATTGTGCCATCCTGATGAGCTCACAAGAAAAATCAATTCATGTGTAAAACTATCTGATTTGTGTATGCAAAATGGTCTCCCTTCCTGATCAAACCAGTCAGATCCTCGGGTCAAAGGTTAAATACTGCTACTTGTGTAGTAATTTGATTGTACTTACAGACATAGACTGGTTCATGTTGTAGTTGGCAAGATTGTAACCAGTCTTGGTGGTTTTCTTCCAAATTTGCTCTTCCCAGGCCTTGTTCAGATGGGCGTTCACAAGGAAACACTCTGGAATGCAAAAGAAATCACATTTGTATTTAATATGACAATAAAGACAGAATACATTGTTCCTCTGGTTTAAAAGCTGGCCATGTACTCAGTCAATCTTAAAACAAGACAGAAATGGGGTGGGGAGTAGGGTGTAATTCTATTTTAGCTCTATCACGATGAAATCTGTGAACTACTCTCAAAGCCGCTTTTTGGAACTAACCGGCACTGCTGATACTAAAGTTTGGCTCAACCTATTTACTTGGATCAATAAATAAGCAGATCATTGCAGTCATTATTAAACTTAACAGTCTAGTCATAGTTTCTGAGGACTTTAATACTGAATCTATCTAATCAACAGACAATAAAAAATTCCTTTCAACATTCAAAGCTGGGGAATTCCATAACAAAATGCAAAGGTATAATGGAAATTGAAAAATTAGATATTTCTAACTGTTAACATTGTTGTTTTTTTGTTGTTTTTTTTTAAATTTTAATCCAGATAAATATACCACTGAGATAATTCTTATTAATATCAAAGGCACAGAAAAAGGCAAATTCATCAGAGCTGTATTAACTTATTACTATTTTAGTTATTAACTAATTAAATCATGACCCTATCTCCTAATTGATCTGAGGGAAACAATTACGAGTTGTCTATTGGGGAATATATCCTGTATTTCTATCAATTACAGCATCAGCTTTAAATTGTACATTCACGGCACATTAAAGAATTAGCAGAACTAATTTAGTCATAAATAATTTGACATTCAGTAATGATGCAGAACACTAGGCAAATTTCAAGCCATTCATAACATTCAAGTACATAAAGGTAATATCATATATGGTACTTGTTAGCAATGCACTTATTATAACATAATTATAGCCATTTGCTAATTCCCAACCCCAGTCTCCTCCCCCTCCTCTCCCTAGAGGCTTTAAGGCCCTTTGGCTTTCATTACTGCAGTGTTCAGAATTCAACATTCTACCTTAACATTACATTCTATCAATGTTCAAGCACTATTGTGTCAATACAGGGCTTTGTTGTTGTTGTTTTTTTTTTGCACAGCATTTAATAAACTGACTTGCATCTTTGTCTGACATATTTTAAAACAGGGCTTTGATTTTCCAAAAGTTAAAGTCCTGAGACTAATTTATCCCAAGGCCTTGTGCAGGGGGCGCAGGGTTGGTTGCAACTGACTTACAAACAGTAGTGAGCATGTCATGTGGTTCAATGGTTATACTTAAAACTGTCGTAACTTTAAATATCACAATTACAAACTTGATTAATGTCAACTCAAAAGTCGCGGTTATTTTTAATTAAGGATTTTTCAAATTTAATTAATCTTCAGTCAAGCTTAAGTATATAAATTATAAATTACATAATTACAACTTTTATGCTACAGTAACTGTATTGTTAATTTCTGGAAAAAAAATAATTTAACAGGAATCTTTTTACAATTCAGGGATCCAAAGTTCACTCATACCCAGCAATTTGCAACAGGGCGAGTTATGATATTGTATCCTGTACTTAGAATTTAGCAGATGGCTCCAAAATTAAGTTTGTATCCCTGAGATTTATCCTGGCAGAAGTTTCGTGCCCAACACATGAATTGAGCTCTTGTCCTTGAAACAACATTATATGTCCAAAAGCCCTTTAAATATCATATTAACGGAACATTTCTTACCTAACTAAGAACAATTCAAGATCAGGCTTTTATTTATAATTCATAGTCTTTTTTAGATATGTAAATCTATCGAATTCAAATGGTAACACAAAGACAAAAAAACAAAAACAAAACAAGAACAAAATAACAATACTTATATATATTTAATATATTATATATACAACACAGGCTGATTTTCACAGGCTGGTGATTTTTACATTTTACATACAATGTAACTAAGAGGCATACCTTCACGGTTTGGAGTATCACATGGTCGATGAACTGTGTACAATTTGTGAATCAAGCAGAACAGGGGGCGGAGCATGAAATAAAATAAAAATGCAACTACATCAATTACTAAAAGATAAAATCATGCTGTGTTAGTAATTTAATAACATAAATAAATTGATCATGCAAAACATAATTAATTAATCAATTTCAATTCCTCAACCTGCAGAAACCGGTAGTAAGAACGGCCTCTGCCACCAGTTTAGAGCCAGGCCAGCTCAATTAAGCAGGGCTTCCATTAATGGAAATTCGGGAGTTATTTACTCCTTGATTTTGGCTTGAGACTTACATGATCTAATACTTTTCCTTCTTTACCTATATAATCATGCAATCTGACCAGCTATTCACAACTATACTGTTGTTTTTTTTCTCTGTATTTTAATACTGAAATCCCTTACACTTCTAATGGACTGTTCCAAATTCAAAGCAGGGCAAGTCCATTGTACAAATTCAGCATGTTTCAAAAATGTAACTTCTTTATCTTTATAATGTGACTAATCCAATGTCAGAGATTTTGTAGTCTCAGACTTCCAAATTTTGGTGGCTGGAGATGCCCGGATTAACTGTAATATGCCATGCTATCCTATATTGACATGAGTATGTCTTAGGCTATAATAAATGCAAATCGCACAATAAGTCAATCAGGCCTGCCTGTATATTTGTCATGACCCGGTTTACCCCCCCCCCCCCCCCCCCTCTGTATGCGTGCACGAGTCTTGATGACATTAATTTACCTGTTCTACAAATAAATTAAGCTGTAAAATGGCATGACTAAATAACACCATTGCCCTCATCTGCCTTAAATGTCTTTTTAAAACCTATCAAATGGCACAATTTAAGGCCAACATTTCTAAACAGTGATTTTTAACGCAGGACGTGCAGACTGGTCTGGCTTGCTTCCAGTTGCAAACGTCAATCACTTTTGGTTCCAGCAGATTGTATTGTATGAATTTGATAAAAGAACCTGTTTTCAATCACTACAAATTGACTTGTTTTTTTAACCAAAATGGTATCAAAAAATATCAAATGCCAATTTGGATTTTTGCATATTTTCTATATATAAACTCCATTCTTTAAGAATTATATAGAAACAATGTTGTTACTGCAAAATTTACATCTTTATCATATTTGTTTTAAATATAATTTACTGTTTATATTATTTGTTACTTTATAAATATAATTTACTGTTTATAAATTATATTATTTGTTACTTTTTTCAAAGTTAAAGGGTCTACTCTTCCCTAAAACAAATTGGCATGGGTCAACTTGGCCAATTTTTAAAAACAGTTATCAACATGTATTGATGTACATGTATAGGATGTTTTTGGTCTGTAATTTGGTTGACAACTTATGTTCATGTGTATTTACTATAACTCGATCTATATATAGAAAACAATTATGTTAACAACATGCAATGCCATTTAAAAATATTTCGTACAAAATAAGGTTTGAAACAAAAATAACTTAGGTGTCTGTACAGTTTGTTATGAAATTATTTATAAATTTACAAAGTCCCATATATTCTAGTTATGGCTTGCCGTGATTAAACATTTTTGCTTTTTATCTGATGCGGCACAAGTTGTGTCATAGTTCATAAACATGGACGCTTGAAGACCCATTATAAGCTAATATTCCTCTAACTCAAAGAAACTTGTAGAACCATATTAGGTTAAAATTTGTACTTTAAATGAACATTTTAACCTAAATGCTTGGTGAACGACAACGCATTAATCTACATTAATATTTACAAATAAATATAAGCCGAGTTGACCCATTTCAAATTGGTATTGGGTCAAAAGGACTCTTGGCCAAGTAAGTTAGAGTTAGTGAGGACCAAGCTGACCCTGATCTGCTGATGCTTTCCACATTGCCATAAAATGACAATATCACAAAGCAACATTTACTTTCACCGGTATATGATCAATTTTCAAAAGGTTTTCAAAAATTCTGTCAACATTTCTGTGGCACTTTTTAATTGTGTGGAAGATAGCATACAGTACTGTATTAAATTATCTGATTGATGCATACTGTACAGTACACTGATACAATAACTGGGTTTAATAAGTACAAAAGCAGTAAACTAAATCTACCTATCTAAACGTTTAACAACACACAGGTACTTCTGTACACATAACATGCACTATGCCCTACTTAATACCCAGTGTGTACTCCTACACGGGGTAAACACCCAATACACAAAACAACAAGATCACAGGGGCCGACAATTTTGACAAAGGCCGTGAAGGGGAGCCTTCGGACAGTGAGGAAACACTTACCGTGTTTACTCGCGTTTTTACCCATTCTTTAATCATCCATCTCGGGTACAAATGATATAAATCCAAACTTGAAACAACAAATTAATCCACTTTGATACAAACTTGATTTTATTGTGAAATGTGTGTCGGTAATCCAACGAATATTTGTTTCACACTGCTATTTACTTCCAGCACCGATTACTTTACGCTCTTTACACATTTGAGGGCGGGACTTTCCATTGATTGACAAGATGGGCTGTTCCATCTTCGGCCAGGGGGTAATTGTAGATTTTACTATGATTATATTTTAACAAAGCCGTCTTGCAAGGTGTAAGTTCATTTTGTTGACAATTTTGAATTTGATAAACATAAAAGCAATGCAGTACGACACATAAGAGTTTCTAAATGCGGTATATCTCACAGTATTCGTTCGAAAGTAATTAAGTATAACCCGATAAGTGAAATGGACCTGTCTAACATTTTCCCTTTGATCTAACCGACAGCGCGATATACGAAATTGCTTACGAATAACATTAGAAAATACTGAAATTATTATATCCGGCTATCAAGCAAATCACCGTTTATAATGATTGTGCGTGAAGAGTAGATTTTAAAGGTGAACTTTGATGGATTTGCAAATGAATATTTATTATAAATAGTCGGCGCAATTTTAGCCCCATATTGTTTTTACATATATCCCACGGGGGTGGAACCCCATATGAATCTCAAAAATGAGCATCGGTAAAAATGATATGTGAATTTCCGCTGCACCAGATGTGAAGCATAACATCAGATGTGACTGGAAAAATAGGCCGATCGCAGGGTAAGTTTTCATCTTTTCAAACATTTATATAAAATTCAATCCTTTTTTTAAGAAAATCGAAATGTGATTCTACCCTCCTGACTCTCCTCTATATTACCCCTTGTTGTTTTGAATTTCTATGCAGTCTTCATCGAGATATTCTTTCCGTCGTGGGTTCTGGTGTGTCCAAAACATGCAATATGAATGAAGAAAATGTCACTAAACGGACTCAAAAAACATAGATTTTACGAAATCTCACTACAGGTCGATGCTAAACATTCAAACAAATCCTGGTTTAAATATTTATTGAGATTTGGCTTCATACAAGGGAATCGCTGCTCAAAATTGCATTTGAGCTCCAGATGTGCTGAACAGATTCATAAGTGATGTAGAAAACCATCTACAAAACTACGGACCTCTTCCATATAATCATTGAATAGCCAATGTATAGAAACAATATAGGTTTTGCATCTTTGGCTGAAAGTTTAATTGTAACATTAGTGTGTTTGATTACCACAGTGACAGAGCTTACTAGCTTATACTAGCATTAGAAATACTAAAAGGCTCGAGTACATGAAAATGTTGACGCAGAGCGGATAGTACTCTTATGAGTACCTATCGTGTCATATAATATGTTTCTTTAATAATGTTTACATTCTTAAAAAATATCTATAACTTTAATATTCCACAAGTTATAGTTATAGCGACAGACTGTTATGTGTAAATATCATGGCCTGATGCGACATCGAAGGTTTTTCTTTACAGGATATGGGCCGAGAACATTGTCTGTAAGGAAAACCCGAGATGCCGCCCCAGGTCATGATATTTCTACATAATGATCGAGTTCGATATACTATAACTGTTTTATCGCATGATAAACAGAAATGAGAATTTTAATAAACATAAAATTTCAATTTATGATTGGCTTCTTTCCATAAATTAAATTTCCCACCCGAAACCTTGGTTACTTTTTATGTAACCCATGTCATCCATAATGTCTATCTGTTCATTGCAACTGACTTTATTTTTCTTTGCAAATCCTTTCTGTGGAGAACATTTCATGGGACTTAATATATAGTTGTGAATTGAATATTAAGCGTTTTTTCTTTGAATTGGAAAAAGTAATACGTGCGCTTTCTGGTGAATTCTTGGACTTTGGAGTCTGCGATACGCGGAATCTTTTGACACATGGGGACAATTTAAAAGGCGAAAAAAGGATATGTAAGCGCTGATGACTTCCTCTTTTCACGATACACGTGACGTTTTATTCTTGAAAGTTTTAAACCTTTCTTTTTTGTGCCTAGAAAACGACCCATTTTCCTGAAAAATAACAAAAGAAACGAATTACGAAAGTGTTTATAATTTACAGTTCCCACTGAAATAACAGTTATAAAGCGGAGAATAAGTTTAGTGATCTTTTTGCGTACATGAACATTTTCAGGAAACAATCTATGTGCATTATGAGCTTCGCATGTCCGCTCAATACGGTTAAGATATGTTAAAGTTTCTTTAAAACCATTCAAAGAATTACAGAGCAGGCATAAAATTCAGATAGGCATTGACCCATAATTGCGACTGTGGGCATGAAGTGAACCAGGTAAATATACTGCAGGGACGTTTCTTCATGTGGAAAATAAATATGCAAATCTTCTTTGGTCTTTTTTTAAAAGTTTATCACTAACTTTCTTACAGCATCATAACAAATTCAAACACGCTTCACATTACTCTCCTATTAAGCAGACAGTGCAATTGAGTGAATAATTAATTAATTAATTAATTTAGTTAATGCATGGTGGCATAAAAAGGGAAAGATTGCAGTACACACAACGTCAATAAGTCAAAAAAGGCCTTTGGCATAAAAAGGGAAAGATTGCAGTACACACAACGTCAATAAGTCAAAAAAGGCCTTCCCACCATATCTACGTATATTAAAAACCTTTCGTATGCAGAATGTCTTATATCTCTTTCTATATGGATACTATTATTCAAGCTCGTCTCGTGAAAATGTGTCTATTTCGGATAATAGTATTTATTACAGAATGATACACAATAGAATTAATTCTAGATTGTTGCAAATTTTTAATGCTATGCACATATGAATCTCTTCAGCACATCTGGAGCTCAAATGCAATTTTGAGCAGCGATTCCCTTGTATGTAGCCAAATCTCAATAAATATATAAACCAGGATTTGTTTGAATGTTTAGCATCGACCTGTAGTGAGATTTCGTAAAATCTATGTTTTTTTGAGTCCGTTTAGTGACATTTTCTTCATCATATTGCATGTTTTGGACACACCAGAACCCACGACGGAAAGAATATCTCGATGAAGACTGCATAGAAATTCAAAACAACAAGGGGTAATATAGAGGAGAGTCAGGAGGGTAGAATCACATTTCGATTTTCTTAAAAAAAGGATTGAATTTTATATAAATGTTTGAAAAGATGAAAACTTACCCTGCGATCGGCCTATTTTTCCAGTCACATCTGATATTATGCTTCACATCTGGTGCAGCGGAAATTCACATATCATTTTTACCGATGCTCATTTTTGAGATTCATATGGGGTTCCACCCCCGTGTATCCGCCCCATGTCCGCGTTTATATATACTTTCCAAACACATTCGACAAATTTAAAAAGCCACGATGGGTCAACTTGTATAATATTTTAAACGTGTTTTGGATGTTTTCTTCAATTATTAAATATGTAAATAAAGGATAAGGAAACAGGATTTTGCAAGGTCTTTGATATGAAAAAAAAAAACACAAAAAACTTTACCCTTAGAAGCCGGAACGTTGTAATTTTATGAATGAAAATATAGTAATAACATTAAATTTATTAGGAGATATTAACTTCTATATTCTTTTTAATAATGCAAGGTCAAGCCTTACTAAATTTACTATGCAAATTTATGTCACTTATATAGACCTATAAGGAAAGCACAACCAAAATTTACCAGACGCTCAAAATATTGTAATTTTTACCACTAAATATTGTAATATAACAGTGGAATTTGAAAGGCATGCTAAATGTTAAATTAATGACCACATTCAACATGTACAGATAATGGCAAAGAGCAAAATTGCATAAAAAGTGAAAAGCCTTTGCCACGCGCAGTCCAGTCCAACCAATATACTGTTGGGTTTTCATCTTGATGTCCCCAAAATTGATAATGGCCGGACAGTTTCAAAAATTAGAAGGTTATGATGCTTAAAAACTCATTTATTGTTTTTGTTTTGTTTTTGTGCTTTTTGCTTATTATTTCCCTATCAAGATGTTTCTTATTAAAGAGAAGTAAAACAAGAACTGTCTTTAAAAAAATACTCGACCGAAGTAAAAATGGTTAACTTGCTTAATATGTTAGTTCTTAGTTTTCCATGCAAAGTTATATAGAAACGTTAGCATAGCTTGCATAACAATGACATAATAATTTTTGTAGTGTTATTAATCTTGAAAAATGGAACACTTTAAGATGTACATGTTTCTAAACAACATGCACTGTTTCGGTTAGTGAACCCAACGTGAGGCATTTATTTTTTGTAAATACTTGATAAATGTGCAAAAATATATAAAAATTATAAACATCATATCAATTGAACACATCAATTTTTTTTAATCATATAATATGTTAGACACTTATTGAACATCATAAACTAATGGTACCTGATAAGTTCTGATATTATTCTCGTTATTTTGGACAAATTTTAAAACTCAGATCATGTGTTAAATAAATTTAACTCGGTTAAATAAACTGATGCAAAAAGTATTGTTAAACAGAACTTAAATATCTAAGCAATTTAACTAGAAAGTTAAAGAAATATTCCGTACATTTCATTTTAGAACTATCCTTTACATTTTATTTATAATGGCGAACTATCTTAGAATGACAAAAACTATCCTTTACATATTATTTTAGAATAGCCAATGAGATTCCCAGATTTTATTTTGTAATATTAAAATGACCAATGAAAAGTCTTCTTATATTCAGTTCTTTGCTGTAAATTTTACAGGAAGTCAAACTGAAAACAGACCGGCATTTGGTCGGAATAATCCCTAAAGAACGCCGGTTCGGTTTGCGTTAGCCTGTTCATAGACAGTACTGGAAATTGAAAGCTACCGTCCACTCCTCCTATCAGAATTCAACGAAAATGGTGAAACTTTGAAACATCTGCAGATGTGTTCATACGACGGTCATCATGGAACATGTAATATGACACGTTCGGGCCATTCCATGAAAAGCGGGGTATGGTCTCAAAGTAAAAGGATGCGTGCCCTTAACAAGAAAACAATGGGCGGAACTAAATAAAATGTAATCAGGGGATCAGACGTTATGAAACTTGTATACTAGTATCACAGATAAGCTGTCAAAATGCAAATTCTAAAAGCAAACCACACTTCGAGCCCCCTAACCAGTTGATCGCGG